CCCGCCGTCGACAGGGATGGCGGCGCCGGTGAGGAAGGCAGCTCGGGGCGAGCACAGGAAGGCTGCCACCTCGCCAATCTCCTCTGGGGCCCCCCATCGCCCCGCCAGCGTGGCTGCCACCATCTGCTGCAGCCGCTCCTCAGAGGCGGGCACCTGCGGCTCGCAGCACACAGCAGGGCCGGGAGGGGTGACGGCGGCCGCCGGAGAGGGACAGCAGGGGCTAGGCAGGCGCAGGCAGGCGGGCGGGCAGGCAGGCGAGCCGCACTTTTGACCAGGCGTCTGTGCGAATGAGGCCGGGGACGATGGCATTCACGTTGACCCCCCGCCTCGCCAGCGCCAGCGCCTGGAGCCGCACCAGATACTCCAGCCCCGCCTTGGCTTGCCCGGGCGCCTCGTTTTCAAGGTGGGGGCCCTGCAGGGCGCAGCGGCGGCCGGTCAGCGCCACAGGGCCCGCACTGCAGCACAGCCAACGCTCCACACAGCCAGCCAGCGCCTGGCAGCAGCCAGCCAGCCAGGCTCGCACAGCAGCTGGCAGGTGCCGGCGAGGGCGAGGCAGACCATGGTGGTGTTGCAGCCCTGCGCCGAGATGGCCACCACGTGGCGCAGGCCGCGGCAGGCCAGAGCCCCGGCCAGGCCGCGGCGGAAGCCGAGAACGTAGACGTCGTGGTAGTATCTGCAGTACCACATGGCGGTACAGCAGTACAGAGGATGGGGACAGTGGTGGGGCGTGGCATGAGAGCAGCGGGCAAGGGATGGCGCCGTGCTGTGCCGCACGGGGGTAGAGTGGGGGCCGGCAGCTGGGATGGCGTGTGGGCAGGCCAGGCAGCCCCACCCGAAGGCCGCCTCCCAGTCCTCCTCGCCGCGAATCTGGGGCTGGGCGTCAGAGACAGAGGTGATGCCGATGTAGCTGTAGGCAGGCACTCACAGGAGGCGTGTGCTCAGTCGGGCAACCGCGAGAGTATATAACGCAGCCAGCGTGCGAGGATGGGCCAGCGCCGTGCAACAGCTCAGCCCTCCACCGGCAGCAAGCAGCAGCCAGCGCAGGCAGCCGCTCACAGCCCGGCGTTGTGCACAAAGGCGGTGAGGCGGCCGTCAAAGGCCTGCTGCACGCGGTCAAACAGGGCGTCCCAGGTGGCGGGCAGCGCGGCGTCGCCGCCCACCACCTCCACCGCCACGCCGTACCGCTCCCGCAGGCTGCGCTGCGCCGTGGCAGCTGCCCCCGCATCACTGTTGTACCCCAGCACCAGGCTGTAGCCGTCGCGGGCCAGGCAGGTGGCGATACCAAACCCGATGCCTCGCGTGCCGCCGCTGACAAGCGCAACCCGCCGCTCTGCAGCAGCAGGAGCAGGAGCAGGAGCAGGAGCAGGGCCAGGAGCAGGATCAGGAGCAGAGCAGCACTGCCGGCATCGCTGGTGGCAGCAGCAGCAGCACAGAAGTGGGACCGCACTGGAGGGGGCCGCCCCCGCACGGCTGCACTGCATTGACCTGCAGCGTGTTGCGATTGTATATTCACCTTCCTGCATTGCCATGACAATGCTGGGCAGGGCAGGGCTGGGGTCCGGGAACTGCGATGACGCCGAATGGTTGTGCGTGGGTGGGCACTAGTGGGGCCGCAGCTGGCGCCCAGAAGCTTCATCTGATGACGAGAAATGTGTTTGGATAGGCCACGCGTCAGGGCTCGAGCGCCATCCCAGAGCATAGCGCAGCACAGCAGGCGGTAGCGGCAGCCCGGCCTGTGGGCAGCCAGAAGAACGACAGCACCCTGGTCCACGTGCATCTGTCT